AATGTGTAAAACCCACCGTGTGTTCAACCCACCATGTGTTCAACCCACCATGTGTTCAACCCACCGTGTGTGCAATCCACCAGTGTGTTCAACCCACCGAGTGTTTTTCAGCCCAGCGTGTGTTGTTCGACCCACCGTGAGTTCAACCCACCATGTGTTCAACCCACCGTGTGTTCAACCCGCCATGTGTTCAACCCACCGTGTGTTCAACCCACCGTGTGTTCAACCCACCATGTGTTCAACCCACCATGTGTTCAACCCACCGTATGTTCATCCCACCGTGTGTTCAACCCACTGTGTGTTCCACCCACCGTGTGTTCAACCCACCGTGTGTTCAACCCACAGTGTGTTCAACCCACCGTGTCTTCAACCCACCATGTGTGCAACCCACCATGTGTTCAACCCACCATGTGTGCAACCCACCAGTGTGTTCAACCCACCGAGTGTTTTTCAACCCACCGTGTGTTGTTCAACCCACCGTGTGTTCAACCCACCCTGTGTTCAACCCACCGTGTGTTTAACCCTCAGTGTGTTCAACCCACCGACCGTGTGTTCAACCCACAGTGTGTTCAACCTACCCACCGTGTGTTCAACCCTCTTTGCGTTCAACCCACCGTGTGTTCAACCCACTGTGTGTTCAACCCTCCGTGTGCTTTACCCACCGTGTGTTCAACCCACCGCGTGTTCAACCCACTGTGTGTTTAACCCACCGTGTGTTCAAACCACCATGTGTTGTTCAACCCACCTTGTGTTCAACCCACCGTGTGTTCAACCCACCGTGTGTTCAACCCACCGTGTGTTCAACCCACCGTGTGTTCCACCACCGTGTGTTCAACCCACCGTGTGTTCAACCCACCGTGTGTTCAACCCACCGTGTGTTCAACCCTCCGTGTGTTCAACCCTCCGTGTGTTCAACCCTCCGCGTGTTCAACCCTCCGCGTGTTCAACCCTCCGCGTGTTCAACCCACCGCGTGTTCAACCCACCGCGTGTTCAACCCACCGCGTCTTCAACCCACCGCGTCTTCAACCCACCGCGCGTTCAACCGACTGCGTGTTCAACCCACCGTGTTTTCAACCCACCGTGTGTTCATACCCACAATGTGTTCAACCCACCATGTGTTCAACCCACCGTCTGTTCAACCACCGTGTGTTCAACCCACCATGTGTTCAACCCACCATGTGTTCAACCCACCGTGTGTTCAACCCACCGTGTGTTCAACCCACCGTGTGTTCCACCCACCATGTGTTCAACCCACCGTGTGTTCAACCCACCGTTTGTTCAACCCACCGTGTCTTCAACCCACCATGTGATCAACCCACCATGTGTGCAAGTGCAACCTACCATGTGTTCAACCCACCATGTGTGCAAGTGCAACCCACCGAGTGTTTTTCAACCCACCGTGTGTTGTTCAACCCATCACGTTCAACCCACCGTGTGTTCAACCCTCCGTGTGTTCAACCCACCGTGTGTTCAACCCACCGCGTGTTCAACCCTCCGCGTGTTCAACCCACCGCGTGTTCAACCTAACGCGTGTTCAACCCAACGCGTGTTCAACCTAACGCGTGTTCAACCTAACGCGTGTTCAACCCAACGTGTGTTCAACCCACCACATGTTCAACCCACCACGTGTTCAACCCACCGCGTGTTCAACCCACCGCGTGTTCAACCCACCGCGTGTTCAACCCACTGCGTGTTCAACCCACCACTTGTTCAACCCACCGTGTGTTCAACCCACCTCGTGTTTAACCCACTGTCTGTTCAAACCACCGTGTGTTGTTCAACCCACCTTGTGTTCAACCAATAGTGTGTTCAACCTACCGTGTGTTCAACCCACTGTGTGTTCAACCCACCGCGTGTTCAAGCCACCGCGTGTTCAACCCTCCGCGTGTTCAACCCACCGCGTGTTCAACCCACCGCGTGCTCAACTCACCGCGTGTTCAACCCTCCGCGTGTTCAACCCACCGCGTGTTCAACCCATCGCGTGTTCAACCCACCGCGTGTTCAACCCACCGTGTGTTCAACCCACTGCGTGTTCAACCCACCTTGTGTTTAACCCACCGTGTGTTCAACCCACCGTGTGTTGTTCCACCCACCGTGTGTTCCACCCACCGTGTGTTCAACCCACCGTGTGATCCACCCACCGTGTGTTCAACCCACCGTGTGTTCAACCCACCGTGTGTTCAACCCACCGTGTGTTCAACCCCTCCGTGTGTTCAACCCTCCGCGTGTTCAACCCTCTGCGTGTTCAACCCTCCGCGTGTTCATGTGTGTGTCCTTCCGCAATTTGGGGCTGGAAGCGCTCGTTCCGAGCATTTTTCTTCCACCGGGTCACATGGCTGCGCTTTGCTGGTCCTATTATCAAGCCAGCAAGGGCGTGGGAGGGTTGCGAGCATCATCGGTCATCGGTGATCGCGAATGGAAAGCGCCCGCTGCACTTCCTGCACATGTGCGTATCCTTCCGCATTTCGAGCCTGGAACCACCGGGTCACGCGGCTGCGCTTGTCTGGTCTTACTACCAAGCCAGCAACGGCATGGGAGGGTTGCGAGCATCGTCGGTCATCGGCGATCGCGAATTGAGAGCGCCCGCTGCACTTCTTATACATGTGCGTATCCTTCCGCATTTTGGGGCTGGAAGCGCTCGTTCCGAGCGTTTTTCTTCCACGGGGTCATGCGGCTGCGCTTGTCTTGTCCTATTATCAAGCCAGCAAGGGCGTGGGAGGGTTGCGAGCATCATCGGCCATCGGTGATCGCGAATGGAGAGCGCCCGCTGCACTTCCTGCACATGTGCGTATCCTTCCGCGTTTTGAGTCTGGAAGCGCTCGTTCCGAGCGTTTTTCTTCCACCGTGTGACGTGGCTGCGCTTGTCTAGTCCTATTACCAAGCCAGCAAGGGCGTGGGAGGGTTGCGAGCATCATCGGTTATTGGGGATCGTGAATGGAGAGCGCATGCTGCACTTCCTGCACATGTGCGTATCCTTCCGCATTTTGAGGCTGGAAGCGCTCGTCCCGAGCGTTTTTCTTCCACCAGGTCACGTGGCTGCGGTGGTCCTATTACCAAGCCAGCAAGGGCATGGGAGGGTTGCGAGCATCATCGGTCATCGGCGATTGCGAATGGAGAGCGCCCGCTGCATTTCATACACATGTGGTCCTATCCTTTTGCATTTTGGGGCTGGAAGCGCTCGTTTCGAGCATTTTTCTTCCGCCGGGACACGCGGCTGCGCTTGTGTGGTCCTATTACCAAGCCAGCAAGGGCATGGGAGGGTTGCGAGCATCATCGGTCATCGGCGATCGCGAATGGAGAGCGCCCGCTTTCCCTACACCTTTGGGGACTCATGCGCATCCTAAGCATTTGTCGGCAAAAACAGCCGATTTCGTAGGTGCCGAACCATTCTTCGAGCAAGAACCAAGCCGGAAAGTCTCCGATAGGTGCATTTGAATATGAGGCACTTGAATGTGCAATGATATTGAGGTTCTTGAGTGCTTTTCCCCACACCTATAAGGATTCGTGCTCATCCTAAGCATATGTCGGCAAAAAATGTTGATTTCGTAGGCGCCGAACTTTTCTTCGCGCACGAACCAAGCCGGAAAGGCCCCGATAGGTGCATTTGAACATAAGCCACTCGAATTTACAATATTGAGGTTCTTGGGTGCTTTAACCTACACCTATGGGGAATCGTGCACATCCTAAGCATTTGTCGGCAAGAACAGCCGATTTCGTAGGCGCCGAACTTTTCTTCGCGCACGAACCAAGCCGGAAAGGCTCCGATAGGTGCAATTGAACATGAGCCACTTGAATTTGCAATATTGAGGTTCTTGGGTGCTTATACATACACCTATGGGGATTCGTGCGCATCCTAAGCATTTGTCGGCAAAAACAGCCGATTTCGTAGGCACATAACTTTTCTTTCCGCGCGAACCAAGCCGCAAAGGCTCCGATAGGTGCATTTGAACATGAGCCACTCGAATGTGCAATGATATTGAGGTTCTGGGGTGCTTTTTCCCTACACCTATGGGGATTCGTGCGCATCATAAGCATTTGTCGGCAAAAACAACCGATTTCGTAGGCGACGAACTTTTCTTCGCACACGAACCAAGAGAATGGGGCGGGGTGATGGAAAGCGGGAGAATGGGGCGGGGTGATGGAAAGAGGGAGAATGGGGCGGGGCGATGGAAAGAGGGAGAATGGGGCGGGGTGATGGAAAGAGGGAGCATGGGGCGGGGTGATGGAAAGAGGGAGAATGGGCGGGGTGATGGAAAGCGGGAGAAGGGGCGGGGTGATGGAAAGAGAGAGAATGGGCGGGGTGATGGAAAGCGCGAGAATGGGGCGGGGTGATGGAAAGCTGGAGAATGGGGTGGGGTGATGGAGAGCGGGAGAATGGGGCGGGGTGATGGAAAGAGGGAGAATGGGGCGGGGTGTTGGAAAGAGGGAGAATGGGGCGGGATGATGGAAAGTGGGAGAACGGGGCGGGGTGATGGAAAGCGGGAGAATGGGGCGGGGTTATGGAAAGAGGGAGAATGGGGTGGGGTGATGGAAAGAGGGAGAATGGGGCGGGGTGATGAAAAGAGGGTGAATGGGTCGGGGTGATGGATAGTGAGAGAATGGGGCGGGGTTATGGAAAGAATCAGAAAGGGGCGGGGTGATGGAAAGAGGGAGAATGGGGCAGGGTGATGGAAAGAGGGAGAATGGGGCGGGGTGATGGAAAGCGGGAGAATGGAGCGGGGTGATGGAAAGCGGGAGAATGGGGCGGGGTGATGGAAAGAGGGAGAATGGGGCGGGGTGATGGAAAGCGGGAGAATGGGGCGGGTGATTGAAAGCGGGAGAATGGGGCGGGGTGATGGAAAGCGGGAGAATCAGGCGGGGTGATGGAAAGCGGGAGAGTCAGGCGGGGTGCTGGAAAGCGGGAGGATGGGGCAGGGTGATAGAATGCGGGAGAATGGGGCGGGGTGCTGGAAAGCGGGAGAATGGGGCGGGTGATTGAAAGCGGGAGAATGGGGCGGGGTTATGGAAAGAGGGAGATTGGGGTGGGGTGATGGAAAGAGGGAGAATGGGGCGGGGTGATGGAAAGAGGGTGAATGGGGCGGGGTGATGGAAAGCGAGAGAATGGGGCGGGGATATGGAAAGAATCAGAATGGGGTGGGGTGAAGGAAAGAGAGAGAATGGGGCGGGGTGATGGAAAGAGGGAGAATGGGGCGGGGTGATGGAAAGCGGGAGGATGGAGCGGGGTGATAGAAAGCGAGAGAATGGGGCCGGGTGCTGAAAAGTGGGAGAATGGGGCGGGGCGATGGAAAGAGGGAGAATTGGGCGGGGTGATGGAAAGAGGGAGAATGGGGCGGGGAGATGGAAAGAGGGAGAATGGGGCGCGGTGATCGAAAGAGGGAGAAAGGGGCAGGGTGATGGAAACCGGGAGAATGGAGCGGGGTGATGGAAACCGGGAGAATAGAGCGGGATGATGGAATGCGGGAGAATGGGGCGGGGTGATGGAAAGCAGGAGAATGGGGCGGGGTGATGGAAAACGGGAGAATGGGGTGGGGTGATGGAAAGCTGGAGAATGGGGTGGGGTGATGGAAAGCGAGAATGGGGCGGGGTGATGGAAAGTGGGAGAATGTGGCGGGGTGCTGGAAAGCGGGAGAATGTGGCGGGGTGATGGAAAGCGGGAGAATGGGGCGGAGTGATGGAAAGCGAGAGAATGGGGCGGGTTTATGGAAAGAATCAGAATGGGGCTGGGTGATGGAAAGAGGGAGAATGGGGCGGGGTGATGGAAAGAGGGAGAATGGGGCGGGGTGATGGAAAGCGGGAGAACAGGGCGGGGCGATGGAAAGCGGGAGAATAGGGCGGGGTCATGGAAAGCAGGAGAATGGGGCGGGTGCTGGAAAGGGGGAAAATGGGGCGGGGTGATGGAACGCAGGAGAATGGGGCGGGGTGACGGAAAGCGGGAGAATGGGGCGGGGTGATGGAAAGCGGGAAAATGGGGCGGGGTGATTGAAAGAGGGAGAATGGGGCGGGGTGATAGAAAGCGGGAGAATGAGGCGGGGTGATGGAAAGAGGGAGAATGGGGCGGGGTGATGGAAAGAGGGCGAATGGAGCGGGGTGATGGAATGCGGGAGAATGGGGCGGGGTGATTGAAAGCGGGAGAATGGGGCGTGGTGATGGAAAGCGGGAGAATGGGGCGGGGTGATGGAAAGAGGGAGAATGGGGCGGGGTGATGGAAAGCGGGAGAATGGGGCGGGGTGATGGAAAGCGGGAGAATGGGGCGGGTGATTGAAAGCGGGAGAATGGGGCGGGGTGATGGAAAGAGGGAGAATGAGGCGGGGTGATGGAAAGCGGGAGAGTCAGGCGGGGTGATGGAAAGTGGGAGAATGGGGCGGGGTGCTGGAAATCGGGAGGATGGGGCAGGGTGATAGAAAGCGGGAGAATGGGGCGGGGTGCTGGAAAGCGGGAGAATGGGGCGGGGTGATGTATAGCGGGAGAATGGGGCGAGGTGATGGAAAGTGGGAGAATGGGGCGGGGTGATGGAAAGAGGGAGAATGGGGCAGGGTGATGGAAAGCGGGAGAATGGGGCGGGGTGATGGAAAGTAGGAGAATGGGGCGGGGTGATGGAAAGCGGGAGAATGGGGCGGGGTGATGGAAAGCGGGAGAATGGGCCGGGGTGATGGAAAGCGGGAGAATGGGGCAGGTGATGGAAAGCGGGAGAATGGGCCGGGGTGATGGAAAGCGGGAGAATGGGGCGGGTGATGGAAAGCGGGAGAATGGGGCGGGGTGATGGAAAGCGGGAGAATGGGGCGGGTGATGGAAAGCAGGAGAATGGGGCGGGGTGGTGGAAAGCGGGAGAATGGGGTGGGGTGATGGAAAGCGGGAGAATGGGGCGGGGTGAAGGAAAGAGGGAGAATGGGGCGGGGTAATGGAAAGAGGGAGAATGGGGCGGGGTGATGGAAAGAGGGAGAATGCGGCAGGGTGATGGAAAGCCGGAGAATGGGGCGGGGTTTTGGAAAGAGGAAGAATGGGTCAGGGTGCTGGAAAGCGGGAGAATGGGGCGGGTGATTGAAAGCGGGAGAATGGGGCGGGGTTATGGAAAGAGGGAGAATGGGGTGGGGTGATGGAAAGAGGGAGAATGGGGCGGGGTGATGGAAAGAGGGTGAATGGGGCGGGGTGATGGAAAGCGAGAGAATGGGGCGGGGTGATGGAAAGCGGGAGAATGGGGCAGGGAGATGGAAAGAGAGAGAATGGGGCGGGGTGATGGAAAGAGGGAGAATGGGGCGGGGTGATGGAAAGCGGGAGGATGGGGCGGGGTGATAGAAAGCGAGAGAATGGGGCCGGGTGCTGAAAAGTGGGAGAATGGGGCGGGGCTATGGAAAGAGGGAGAATTGGGCGGGGTGATGGAAAGAGGGAGAATGGGGCGGGGAGATGGAAAGAGGGAGAATGGGGCGCGGTGATCGAAAGAGGGAGAAAGGGGCAGGGTGATGGAAAGAGGGAGAATGGAGCGGGGTGATGGAAACCGGGAGAATAGAGCGGGATGATGGAATGCGGGAGAATGGGGCGGGGTGATGGAAAGCAGGAGAATGGGGCGGGGTGATGGAAAACGGGAGAATGGGGTGGGGTGATGGAAAGCTTGAGAATGGGGTGGGGTGATGGAAAGCGAGAATGGGGCGGGGTGATGGAAAGTGGGAGAATGTGGCGGGGTGCTGGAAAGCGGGAGAATGTGGCGGGGTGATGGAAAGCGGGAGAATGGGGCGGAGTGATGGAAAGCGAGAGAATGGGGCGGGTTTATGGAAAGAATCAGAATGGGGCTGGGTGATGGAAAGAGGGAGAATGGGGCGGGGTGATGGAAAGAGGGAGAATGGGGCGGGGTGATGGAAAGCGGGAGAACAGGGCGGGGTGATGGAAAGCGGGAGAATAGGGCGGGGTCATGGAAAGCAGGAGAATGGGGCGGGTGCTGGAAAGGGGGAAAATGGGGCGGGGTGATGGAACGCAGGAGAATGGGGCGGGGTGATGGAAAGCGGGAGAATGGGGCGGGGTGATGGAAAGCGGGAAAATGGGGCGGGGTGATGGAAAGAGGGAGAATGGGGCGGGGTGATAGAAAGCGGGAGAATGGGGCGGGGTGATGGAAAGAGGGAGAATGGGGCGGGGTGATGGAAAGAGGGAGAATGGAGCGGGGTGATGGAATGCGGGAGAATGGGGCGGGGTGATTGAAAGCGGGAGAATGGGGCGTGGTGATGGAAAGCGGGAGAATGGGGCGGGGTGATGGAAAGAGGGAGAATGGGGCGGGGTGATGGAAAGCGGGAGAATGGGGCGGGGTGATGGAAAGCGGGAGAATGGGGCGGGTGATTGAAAGCGGGAGAATGGGGCGGGGTGATGGAAAGAGGGAGAATGAGGCGGGGTGATGGAAAGCGGGAGAGTCAGGCGGGGTGATGGAAAGCGGGAGAATGGGGCGGGGTGCTGGAAATCGGGAGGATGGGGCAGGGTGATAGAAAGCGGGAGAATGGGGCGGGGTGCTGGAAAGCGGGAGAATGGGGCGGGGTGATGTATAGCGGGAGAATGGGGCGAGGTGATGGAAAGCGGGAGAATGGGGCGGGGTGATGGAAAGAGGGAGAATGGGGCAGGGTGATGGAAAGCGGGAGAATGGGGCGGGGTGATGGAAAGTAGGAGAATGGGGCGGGTTGATGGAAAGCGGGAGAATGGGGCGGGGTGATGGAAAGCGGGAGAATGGGCCGGGGTGATGGAAAGCGGGAGAATGGGGCAGGTGATGGAAAGCGGGAGAATGGGCCGGGGTGATGGAAAGCGGGAGAATGGGGCGGGTGATGGAAAGCGTGAGAATGGGGCGGGGTGATGGAAAGCGGGAGAATGGGGCGGGGTGATGGAAAGCAGGAGAATGGGGCGGGGTGGTGGAAAGCGGGAGAATGGGGCGGGGTGATGGAAAGCGGAAGAATGGGGCGGGGTGAAGGAAAGAGGGAGAATGGGGCGGGGTAATGGAAAGAGGGAGAATGGGGCGGGGTGATGGAAAGAGGGAGAATGCGGCAGGGTGATGGAAAGCCGGAGAATGGGGCGGGGTGATGGAAAGCGGGAGAATGGGGTGGGGTTTTGGAAAGAGGAAGAATGGGTCAGGGTGATGGAAAGAGGGAGAATGGGGCGGGGTGATGGAAAGCGGGAGAATGGGGCGGGGTGATGGAAAGCGGGAGAATGGGGTGGGGTTATGGAAAGAGGGAGAATGGGGCGGGGTGATGGAAAGATGGAGAATGGGGCGGGGTGATGGAAAGCGGGAGAATGGGGCGGGGTGATGGAAAGCGGGAGAATGGGGCGGGGTGATGGAAAAAGGGAGAATGGGGCAGGGTGATGGAAAGAGGGTGAATAGGGCAGGGTGATGGGAAGAGGGAGAATGGGGCGGGGTGATGGAAAGTGTGAGAATCGGGCGGGGTGATGGAAAGCAGGAGAATGGGGGGGGTGATGGAAAGAGGGAGAATGGGGTGGGGTGATGGAAAGCGGGAGAATGGGGCGTGGTGATGGGCGCTCGCAAATGAAGAGCGCCCGCTGCACCTCCTGCACATGTGCAGATCTTTCCGCATTTTGGGGCTGGAAGCCCTCGTTCCGAGCGTTTTTCTTTCGCCAGACTACGTAGCTGCGCTTTTCTGGGCCTAATACCAAGCCAGCAAGGGCGTGGAAGGGTTGCGAGCATCATCGGTTATCGACGCTCGCGAATGAAGAGCGCACGCGGCACTTCCTGCACATGTGTGGATCCTTCCGCATTTTGGGAGTGGAAGCGCTCGCTCCGAGCGTTTTTCTTCTGCTGGGTCACGTGGCTGCGCTTGTATGGGCCCCTATTATCAAGTCAGCAAGGGCGTGGGAGGGTTGCGACCATCATCGGTCATCGGCGCTCGCGGGTGAAGAGCGCGCGCTGCACTTCCTGCACATGTGCAGATCCTTCCCTGTTTTGGGGGTGGAAGCGCTCGTTCTGAGCGCTTTTCTTCCGCTGGCTCACCTGGCTGCACTTGTGTGGGCCTATTTCCAAGCTAGCATGTGCGTGGGAGGTTCGCAAGCATCACCGATCATCGGCGCTCGTTAATGAAGAGCGCCTGCTGCACTTCCTGCACATGTGCAATTCCTTCTGCGTTTTGGGGCTGGAAGCGCTTGTTTCGAGCATTTTTTTCTCGCCGGGTCACGTTGTTGCACGTGTCTGGGCATATTACTAAGCCAGTAAGGGTGTGGGAGGGTTGCAAACATCATCGGTAATTGGCGCTCGCGAATGAAGAGCACCCGCTGCACTCCCTGCACATGAGGGGATCCTTTCGCGTTTTGGGGTTGGAAGCGCTCGTTTGTAGCGTTTTTCTCCCGCTAGATCACGTGGCTGCGCTTGTCTGGGCCTATTTCCAAGCTAGCAAGGGCTTGGGAGGGTTGCGAGCATCATCGGTCATCGGCGCTCGCGAATGAAGTGCGCCCGCTGCACTTCCTGCACATGTGCTGATCCTTCCGCGTTTTGGTGGTGGAAGCGCTCATTCTGAGCATTTCTCTTTCGTCAGGTCATGTGGTTGTGCTTGTCTGGGCCTATTTCCAAGCCAGGAAGTGCGTAGGAGGGTTGCAAGCACCATCTGTTAAGTTTAGAACGAGGAATGAGAACAGAAGAAGGAGTTTCACTAGCAGCAGTTGGGATACATATAGCAAACCCTAACTGGGTTGTACCCGATATAGAGCACCCCACTACAGGCTAGATAATAACATTCTTACACACCCCCATAGCCAAAGTGGGGTGTAATCAGCACAATGAGTAGGTATAGTAGGAGTTCACAATTATAAGCAAAGCTAGAGGTAATCACAGCGGGCAAGTGGGGAGGAGGAGGAACTGTGGAAGGAGAGAAGATGGGAGGCAACGACTGAAGCTGCAGAGGCACGGGCACAGGAGCAGCTGACTCAGTGGCTACCGAAGCAAGGGCGACGGACTACTAGAGTGACTGGCTCCGCGGCTAAGACAAGCGGCAGGAGCAACGGACCCACTCGCGACTGGTGCAACAGGCTCACTGGCTACCGAAGCAAGGGCGACGGAATACAGGCGCTGCAAGCGACACGACAGCTACCTTCACACAACTTCCCCCAGCTGCCCCACGCCCCTCTCACACACCCCCTGCTGAAACCCTAGCTCCACTCCCACGGCACCCCCCCTTAAACCCTAAACCCTAGGCTCCTACACACCCACCCCCCTCAGCGACAGCTGCAGCAGTGGGAGACGAGGGAGGAGGAGGAGCAAGGGGAGGAACTCACAACCGCCACCCCCACACCCGCCACCCCCAAACCCTAACGCAGGTAGGAGCGCGGGAAGCAGTAGGGGCGGGTCACGGAGGGTAAGGGAGGCGGCGGAGGGTCTCCAGGGCGCCACAAAGAAGCAGGGCGCGGGCCCCTCGAGGGCGCCACGGTGGGTGACGGGAGGGGGGCCGCGCACGGGCCCACGAGGGCGGCTCGACGTGCGACGGGAGGGGCCGCTCGCGGACCCCCAAGGCGCCGCGACGAGGCGACGGTCGGGGCCGGTGCGCGGGCCCCCAGGGCGCCGCGATGAGGCGACAGGAGGGGCCGGCACGCGGGCCCCCAAGGCGCCGCGACAAGGCGACGAGAGGGGCCGGCGCGCGGACCCCCAAAGCGCCGCGACGAGGCGACGGGAGGGGCCGGCGCGCGGGCCCCCAAAGCGCCGCGACGAGGGAACGGGAGGGGCCTGCGCGCGGGCCCCCAAAGCGTCGCGACGAAGTGACGGGAGGGGCCGGCGCGCGGGCCCCCAGGGCGCCGCGACGAGGCGACGGGAGGAGGGCGATGGGCGGGCCCCCCAGGTCGCCGCACGAAGCATGAAACCGCCGCGCGCCTCGGGGCGCACGGCGGGCAGAAAACCGTAAAAGAAATCGGGTTTAGGGTTTAGCAGGAAGAAGACGTTGCACGCCACGGGGCGTGTTACAGACAGAGTAGCAGCGGAAGCAGTTAGGTGGTGGGCCCACCCACAGGATTGACCCAAGGGGGTCGACCTGCTCTGAAACCATGTTAAATTTAGAACGAGGAATGAGAACAGAAGAAGGAGTTTCACTAGCAGCAGTTGGGATACATATAGCAAACCCTAACTGGGTTGTACCCGATATAGAGCACCCCACTACAGGCTAGATAATAACATTCTGACACCATCGGTTATCGATCTCGCGAATGAAGAGCACCCGCTGCACTTCCTGCACATGTGCGAATCGTTCTGCGTTTTGGGGCTAGAAGCGCTCGTTCCGAGAGTTTTTCTTCTGCTGGGTCACGTGGCTGCGCTTGTTTGTGCCTATTACCAAGCCAGCAAGGGCGTGGGAGGGTTACGAGCATCATCGGTCATCGGCGCTCGCGAATGAGCACCGCTCACTGCACTTCCTGCACATGTGCGGATCCCTCTGCATTTTGGGGGTGAAAGTGCTCGTTCCTAGCGTTTTTCTTCCACCAGGTCACGTGGCTGCACTTGTCTGGGCTTATTACCAAGCCAGCAAGGGCGTGGGAGGGTTTCGAGCATCGTCGGTCATCGGCGCTCGCGAATGAAGAGTGCCTGCTGCACTTCCTGCACATGTGCGGATCCTTCCGCGTTTCTGGGGTGGAAGTGCTCGCTTCGAGCGCTTTTCTTTCACCGGGTCGCTTGGTTGCGCTTGTTTGGGCCTATATTCAAGCCAGCAAGTGCGTGGGAGGGTTGCGAGCATCATTGGTCATCGGCGCTTACGAATGAAAAGCGCCTGCTGCACTTCCTGCACATGTTCAAATCCTTCCGCGTTTTGGGGCTGGAAGCGCCTGTTCCGAGCGTTTTTCTTCCGCCGGGTCATGTGGTTGCGCTTGTCTGGGCCTATTACCAAGCCAGCAATGGTGTGGGATGGTTGCAAATATCATCGGTCATAGGCGCTCGCAAATGAAGAGCGCCCGGTGCACTCCCTGCACATGTGCCGATCTTTTCGCGTTTTGAGGGTGGAAGCGCTCGTTCCAAGCGTTTTTTCTTCCGCCAGGTCATGTGGTTGCGCTTGTCTGGGCCTACTACCAAGCCAGCAAGGGCGTGGGAGGGTTGTGAGCATCATCGGTCATCGGCGCTCGCGAATGAAGAACGCCCGCTGCACTTTCTGCACATGTGCGGATCCTTTCGCGTTTTAGGGGTGGAAGCGCTCGTTCCGAGCGTTTTTCTTACGCCGCGTCACGTGGCTGCACTTTTCTGGGCCTATTACCAAGCCAGCATGCACATGGGAGGGTTGCGAGCATCATCGGTCATCGGCGCTCGTGAATGAAGAGCGCCCGCTGCACATCCTGCACGTGTGCGGATCCTTCCGCGTTTTGGGACTAGAGACGCTCCTTTTGATCGTTTTCCTTCCGCCGGGTTATGTGGTTGCGCTTGTCTGGGCCTATTACCAAGCCAGCAAAGGCGTGGGAGGGTTGCAAACATCACAGGTCGTCGGCGCTCGCAAATGAAGAGTGCCCGCTGCACTTCCGCGTTTTGGGGCTGGAAGCGCTCATTTACGGCTCACCTAGCGACAGAGCAGCAAAGGAGAGCCGCCCTAGGCAGAGCTATCGACCTGAATGTGATGCAGTGGCTTTTAGAAACGATAAGGATGAAAGAGATCGAGCGGGAGATTGAGTTCAGCGAGAGACACCGCGAAGAGTGAGAGGCCCTGAAGTGGAGAGGACAGCTGGAGATGATAGAGGAGCAGCTTGAAGGACGGATCATGGAGGGTTGAGCCTTCATGCCGCGGAAGGCGAGATGGGAGTAGAGAGGATGGATGACAGCGCTAAGACGGGCACTAAAGAGGGGGGAGAGGAGGAAGGGACGGGAGAGTGGCAGATGGGCGAAGGACTGGGGGCAGAGGCAACCGCGGCATTACAGGAGGTTTTTGAAGGAAAACCACTGGGATGCCAAGAGCGTATGGTTCACTCTCACGTAGCAGTATAGCATAGAGATGCGGTGCAACAGCCGCAAGGAAAGCCGCTCAGACGTCACTGCCAAGGGCAGGAGCACTCCAGACGGACGAAGGACGGGCAGGAGCTGAGACCATCTGAGTGGAGTAGTCAAGGCGACGGGTGGAGGCAAAGTCAGCAACAGCAGCGTCAAGAGTTGAGATAGACTGACGGAGAAGGGGCATTTTGGTCAGAAACAAGAGTCACTACCGGCCACCGAGACCTCTCCTTATCTCCCCAGCCACTATCACTCGCTCAGCCCCAACCAGCCTCCCAACCTGAGAGGCTGCCCCCATCAGCTCCTCCCCTGCCCCTCCTGTTTTGTGTGCTCAGCTCTACCCACCCCAAACCCTCAACCGTAGGTGCTGCTGCTTCCTCCCCCCCACTTGGCACCGCCCCCCTGCCCCCAATTGCCCCTGCTGCCAGCCCTCCTACCCCCACCCTAACCTGTCCGAATTCCCTTGTCACGAGACCTCGCCCTGTCCCAGTTGGGGGGCTCCAACCAGAGCAGCCCCTCTCATCTCCTCCCCTACTCCCCCTGTCACGTGTTCCACCCGACTTGCTCCTAGCACCCCCACTTGCTGCTGCTGTCACTACCACCCCCCTTGCCCTGCCTCCATACCTCCTTGTGTCCTAACTGTCAGCCATCCTTCACGCACCCTATCCGCCTCCGTTCCTCCCGCCACTGCTGCACGCTCCGACCCAACTCGCATGCCTGTTTGAGAACCAGCCCCACATATCACCGCTCGCCACTCTTGTCCCATGCGTGGTTTCCCTTGCCGTCTCTGTCCCAGGTACCTCCCTTCCAACCCCAAGCCCCTCCCCATGTGAAGCCCCAACCGCTAACCCCCTTGTCTCTCCCCCACCTGCCCCTATCACTCCATCGAACACTGTCCCACCCAAGCTCAAGCCCTACCCAATCACCCCTCTATTTCTCCTGCTCCTGCTGCCACCTCATGTGCCCTTACGCGCAACAGGGAATTTACGTACTGTCTCCCCTCCCCCCTCCACTCCAACCACTCTATCAGTGCCCTTCCCCCCTTTTCCACGTTGCCTCCCACCCACAGCGGCCCCACTCTCCCCTCTCCCTGCCCTGTTAGCCGGCCCCTCCTGTCGTCCCCCCCCTGTACTCCCTTGAGTCCCCCTGATCCCCCCACACGCGCCCCCCCCCCCCCTCTCCCACCCCACCCCTCCAACTCAAACAACGACATCAAGCACGTGCGTGCCTCCTCCCAGATGAGGGATCAGCGTCATGTCCTCCACTGTCACAACAAACCCCGCATCGTGCGCAATATTCATGAGCGTGAACTTGACTGTGTCTTGGATCGTCGTGGCGACTGCAAACCGTAGGCACCGAACAACGTGATGTGGGACTGTCATGTCGTCGATCGCCAATCCGCAAGAACACTGACTTGCAAAGGCTAGCTGGAGAACAGGGAGACGAAAGCAAAAACTCCAGGCCATCTGCTATTGCGCTCGGAAATGCGTAGAGTAAGCGGACGGAACCGTCGTAAGCCCCGTCCTGCACATGGACCTTGACGGGATGTCAAGCGGGCAAGATGTAACAGATCGCTATGGTGTGCACGTACTGACTCCAGAACATGCGCCTCGAGGTGGCGGCTCACAGTAGTGAAGAGGCGCTTATGTGCTGCTCCTTATTTAAGTATCCTATCGACTAGTGTGGCCGTCGTAATTTGGGCCTTGGGCTTAACGCCCAAGTATTCGGGTGCTGATGGTGGGTGTATTAACCACTTGCAATGAGAGCGAACAATGCCTCTTAGACAGACAAACCAGCCAATGCCCATCAAAAAGCTACAACTGTGAAAAGGAGAGGGTTAGTCTATCGCGCGGCACAGCGTGGATATTGTCACTTGCATCTGTACAAAGGGCCAAACCATTGTCCCTCCCACTTAATCTCTCTCTACTGTCCCTTGCGTCTTGAACCATATGCTCATCCTTAACAGCCTCCAATCCACCAGCATCCATTCGACCCTCAACCCCTGCTCCCCCTCTTGCAGATGGACCGTCCCCGTTCCTCACAATTCCTCTCTCCTCCTCTTCACCCTCCCCATCCCCTCGCGCCCCTGGATCCCAGTCCGTGGCCTCCGCCCCGGCCTCGTCCACCCTGCCTGCGCCCTGCTGGCTGTCCAGGCGGCTCACGAAGGGCTGGATGTGCACGTCGGGGTGCTGCGCGCGCACCACCTGAGGCCACCGTGGAGGGCGGGTGGACAGGGAGAGGGGGGAGGCGAGGTCAGTTGGATCGGAGGGGAGTGCACGAGTGCTTGACGTGCGTGCTCAAGCAGATGGCTGCACGTGCCTGCCCTACCTCCACCCCTTGCTGCACGTGCCTGCGTGCCTTACCTCGATCTGCCGCTGCAGGTGGCGCACATACTCAATGGCATCCTCCAACATGTCCGCCGCATTCACCTGGTGCATGCATGCACGCACGTATTACACATGCACGTATTCACACATGCACACATGCACGTATTCACACATGTACACGTGCACACACAAATGCACATGCACGTGCATGCACATATTCACACATGCACGTACATGCACATGTGCACACATGCACACACAAATGCACACGCACGTGCATGCATACACAAATGCACAGGCACGTGCATGCAAGCACACATGCACACGTGCACACACAAATGCACACATATGCTATGCACACACACGAGCAGGCAAGCTCACATGCACACGTGCAACCTTGCAGGCACACATGCACACACTCATTCCACGCACAAACTCATTCCATGCACAAACCCATACCATACACATACTCATTCCATACACAGACGCAGCACGGAAGGGAGAGGGAGATGCATTGGCATGATGTAGTAGGGGGAGAGGCTCCGAAAACCAACACATGGAAAAGAGGGGCACAGAGGACCGCACAGGGGCATAGGGGGCAGCATTTAGTCACAGTGGGAATGAGCCAGGGTCGCCCCCAGTGCCATAGCTGCACTGCTTGCCGTCCCCTCACACAATGTACACCACTTGTGACTGTTTCTCTTGCGCACACCACACCACTCCTCACCTGCTGCTGCTGCAGCTCGCCCTTACCACTCCACCTCCTCCTTGCCCCACTCTTCACCTGCCTTTGCATGCCCCCACGCACCTGCCTGCCCATGCCCCCACGCACCTGCCTGCCCATGCCCCCACGCACCTGCCTGCCCATGCCCCCACGCACCTGCCTGCCCATGCCCCCACGCACCTGCCTGCCCATGCCCCCACGCACCTGCCTGCCCATGCCCCCACGCACCTGCCTGCCCATGCCCCCACGCACCTGCCTGCCCATGCCCCCACGCACCTGCCTGCCCATGCCCCCACGCACCTGCCTGCCCATGCCCCCACGCACCTGCCTGCCCATGCCCCCACGCACCTGCCTGCCCATGCCCCCACGCACCTGCCTGCCCATGCCCCCACGCACCTGCCTGCCCATGCCCCCACGCACCTGCCTGCCCATGCCCCCACGCACCTGCCTGCCCATGCCCCCACGCACCTGCCTGCCCATGCCCCCACGCACCTGCCTGCCCATGCCCCCACGCACCTGCCTGCCCATGCCCCCACGCACCTGCCTGCCCATGCCCCCACGCACCTGCCTGCCCATGCCCCCACGCACCTGCCTGCCCATGCCCCCACGCACCTGCCTGCCCATGCCCCCACGCACCTGCCTGCCCATGCCCCCACGCACCTGCCTGCCCATGCCCCCACGCACCTGCCTGCCCATGCCCCCACGCACCTGCCTGCCCATGCCCCCACGCACCTGCCTGCCCATGCCCCCACGCACCTGCCTGCCCATGCCCCCACGCACCTGCCTGCCCATGCCCCCACGCACCTGCCTGCCCATGCCCCCACGCACCTGCCTGCCCATGCCCCCACGCACCTGCCTGCCCATGCCCCCACGCACCTGTCTGTCCATACCTCCACGCACCTGGCGGTCCATGCCGGGAATGAGGTCGCACCTGGCGGTCCATGCCGGGAATGAGGTCGCACCTGGCGGTCCATGCCGGGAATGAGGTCGCACCTGGCGGTCCATGCCGGGAATGAGGTCGCACCTGGCGGTCCATGCCGGGAATGAGGTCGGTCAGGAGCTTCATCTTGTCGCTGATGCGCGATCGCCGCACCTGCCATGGGTGCAACGCGGTGCAGATCAGTTTGCAATGTGCAAATAGCGGAGAAGTTGGAGTGCTGGAGTCCCAGGGCAGGGCAAGGTCGGAGATGCAAATGCAGCTTTTCCCTCATTCCACGCCTCCCCATCAGCACCCCCCACCAGCAACCCCCGCCCCACCCACCCCTGCCCGCCCCCCACCCACCCCCTCCACCCCCCCCCCCCACTCTCACCCGTTCAGCGATGGAGCGCGGGTGGGTGGCCTGGCCGCGCTTGGCGCGCACCTTGCAGAGCACGCCATCCGCCGCCTCCACCAGCCGCCGCTTCCCCCCCGCCCCCCCGCCCACACCCGCGCCCCCCATGCCTGCTTCCCTCCTGCCCAGCACCCCCCCACCCGCCTCCCCCCCTGCGCCTGCTGCGCCAGGCGCCCCCAGCGACCGATGCTGCGCGCGCCTTGGGCTGATCAGAGGCGCATGCGGCGAGAGGAGGGGCGCGGAGGACGGTGGGGCGGACTGGGGTGAGAGGGCGGATGATGGGGACTGAGAGCGGGTGGGGGGGACACGGGGCGGATGAGAGGAATAAAGAAAAGCAGAGGAAGAGCGGAAGGCAGAGGAAGAAGGAGAATTGGAGGAACAAGGAAAAGCGGAGGACAGAGGACAAACAGAGGACGATAGGAAATGCAAGGGGAAGAAGGAAAAGCAGCGGAAGTAGGAAAAGCAGCGGAAGAAGGAAAAGTAGAGGAAGAAGGAAAAGCAGAGGAAGAAGGAAAGTAGAGGGAAAAAAAAAGGAGAGGAAGAAGGAAAAGCGGAGGAAGGAGGAAGAAGTGGAGATGAAGCAAAAGTGGAGGGGTGGGGTGAGAGGGAGAGAACGGGGGAGGGGGGGGGGGGGGAGGGTGCAGGAGCAGAAGGACAAGGTGTATGAACGGGGTGTATGTGCGGGGTGTGTGGAGGGGGGTGGGGAGGGAGGGGTGTATGTGAGGTGTGTATGTGTGGTGTGGGGTGAGTGACTTACCACGCCACCGTTGCTGCGTGCCACCCCCCCTTGCACCGCTGCCATGGGTGTGTGCACGCCCCCTCCCGCCATCCACTGCTGGGGGAACAGCTGCGCCTCGCCCTGCCCACACCCGCCACTCCCCACCCCCTCACCCATTCCCCCAAACCCTCCCATCCCCCGTGCCCCCCCCACTGCCCCGCCACTGCTTGCTGCGCCCCCCAGCAGCCCCTGCCGCATGTGGCTGCTGACTCCCCCCCCTGCACTGCTGCCCACCCCACCGTCCATGCCAACCATGCCCGACCCCATCAGGCCTTCATTGCCCCCCCCTGCCCCAGCGCCAGTGCCAGGCGCAGAGCTGCTTCCCCCGATCATGCCCGCGCCCAGCTCCAGTCCCCCATGCATGCCGCCCTGCGCCTGAAGGTCCCCCTCTCCGCCTGCCCCCAGCGCCAGAGCCAGCGCCTGCGCCACCTGCGCTGGGGACTGCTGCTGGGCAGAAAGTGGGCCGGCGGAGGGGTGGGCAGAGGCGGCAGGGCCGTGCATGAGACCGTGCAGCTGCATCAACACCTGCAGCGGCAGCTGGGGCGACTGGGGCGACGCCTGCTGCTGCTGTTGCTGGGCTGAAGCTTGGGCGTGGAAAGGAGCAGAGGGGGGCGGTGTTGCGAGGGGGTGTTGGTCCGGCAGGGAGGAATGCGCAGAGGGCAGGGTGAGGCCCAGCAGGCGCAGGTTGGCGCCCGCCGATTGGTCCAGGTCCGCCAGCTGCGCCTGCGCCTGCTGCAGCAGATCTGCGGTCATGGACGCACAATGAGGCAGGGGGAAGGGGGAGCGGGGCTCTCAGAAAAAAGAGGAGACAGCAGAAAAGGGAGACGGTTGCAGCTACAATGTTGGAGCAAACGCCCAAAGGGCAACGTGCCATCTGAAACGTGTCGGTCGGTTCCCTATCCTCTCCTTCCCAACCTGCCTGTGAGGTAAGCGGAGTTTGCATTGCCTTGCACGCCAACAAATGCCTCCCCCTGAGCCATCTCCGCCTGCCGCCACTCGCCGCTGGGCCCAGGTGCTACTCCAGCAGGCGAGGGCAGGTCCAAGCCGGCGGCGAGGGACAGGCTTGTGGTGGTGCGCCGCGCCAGCGCAGGCTCGTGGCCTGCACCCGTGCTGCCGCTCCGCTCGCTGCCGCCGTCCGGCGCCTGGCGTGCTGCGTGCTGCGAGGAGGAGGCATGGAAGGCAGCAGTCCCCTGTGGGCGCGTGGCTGTGGGCTGGGGCGCTGGGGCTGAAGGCACGTTGGGCGGCGGGGTGAAGTCGGAGCGCGGGAGGCCGTCGGTAGCGAGCGCATTGGAGGGGAAGTGAGGCGCGTGCACGGCGTGCGAGGGCGACACGTGGCAGGCGCTGGGCGTGGCAGCTGTGGCTGATGGAGCTGCTGATGGGGCTGCGCCGCCTTGCTGGGCGGCAGCGGCAACGGCTAGTTGCGAGTAGAGGAAGTGGTAGGCAGGAGGCATGGCGCTGGGCTGCATGGCGCTGGGCTGCATGGCTGCAGCCTCTTGCGGTGGAAAGGAGGCGATGCCGGCTGCTGCTGATGCTGCACCAGATGATGCATCCATGGCGCTGAAGTGGGAGGACGATGGCTGCGACAAAAGGCAACACGGCATGAGGGACAGGTACACCTGATTCACACTGATCCGCACATTCCACAACACGCCAGACACATCCCACAAGAGCAATGGTGATGTTTTATGGCCACGGTCAAACCACTGTTCGTCTTGACAGCAAAAAAGCTACCCTTGGCTCTCATACAGAACTGTAGGTGTAGTGGTAACCTTAGATTTGTGTACAATCCATTGATATCCCTGACAGAAGCGGGAGCAAGTGAGGAGCAATCTTTTGGTCGAAGCCGGGGAAGGGGTAAGGTGTAGTACGTGAGTGCGTGCGCCCCTCGCTCTCCCTTTTACCACCCACCGCGGCGACCTGCGGCGGCACTCGCCAGCAGCACGCCTGGCAGGAGGAGGTTGAGCCGAGGATGGAAGGAAAAGGCGAGAGCAGCTGATACTTCTAGAAACACGCAGCAACGGAGGCATGAATAGGGTTCTCGTTCCCTCTTTCAGAAAGTACTGCTAATACTCTTTCCGCGTTCGTTTATCTCGACAACCCCTCGCCTGCCCTCGCTTTCTTTCCCCTACCTTCACCTGCACCCTCCCTTTCTCTCCTTCCGTCCATCTGTGAGTTTCTCTTGGTCCCAACAGCTTGATTCACTAAGTCCTCCGTCACTCCCTTCTGACGAGTAGTGCGATCTCACACGGTTTGTCACATCTGTCATTTTCTTGCCACGTGTCAATGATTCCCCTTCCTTTGTGTGTGCCCACTTACAAGAATTCTCACCTTTCACGTGCAGGCTTATTCCAGGATATGCTCAGAAGAGCTCATAGGAATGCGCGAGGATTAGGAGCGTGAGGGAGGGACCGTAACACAGCCTACAAACGGCGGCGGATCTCGTTCGCGAGGAGCGAGCGGGAGCGGCGGGGAGGAAGGAAGCGAGATCGAGAGCAGGATTTTCGAATGAGTATGCAAGATAGGTGGACGCTAGGGAAGCATTCACACCTAGCGAGTTGGTGTGCTGCGCATCCGTGTGTTCTAGATTGCGTCGTACCACCGACGTGCAAGTGGCAATCTTCAGTGAGCCGCTTGCTACTCGCCTCGACTCCCATGATTTTGAGCTGCTGACTGAACCCATCCATCTGTTCACCTGCAGTGGTTGTTGGTGCTCGGAAAGACTTGAAACCTTGACTGGGCAACCTCGGAGCAGTGGCGGATCTGGATGAAACCAACAAAATGGTCCCTTCCCCAACTCCTTCTAGGAAGCCTGGCTTGCCGGCTTTGCGGGGATGGTATCGGTGTGTGGGTGGGTGGGAAGGGAAACCTACTTTGCCCTGCACAGCCCAACTCAAGCCCAGGAGGAGGGCAATACCACGATTCATTCTCAGTGCATCAGCGGATTAGTGGCAATAGCGGGTACGCTGACAACTCCCTTTCCTTCTCACTTTCCTTCTCCCTTTCTTCATTTCCTTTCTCCTGCATTTATGTCTTTCTTTCCCTCCTTTAAAAAAATATGTCACACTTGGTCGCGACTCCCATAGCACACGAAACGGGTCCTTTACGGCATTTCTGAGAAGAATTCGCTGGAAGCATTTTTTCTGTCTTCCCGAGGTGCTTTTACGCTATTAATTTAATGTTTTTTTAGAAGTCGCTGATGAAAAGTCAGTGTTCCTGTCACCTACTCTGACAAATTAAACCTCCCAAAAGCCTTCTGGTATTTGCCTCAAAACATCCGCATGCATTGTCTTCGTACCCCTGAAATGTATTCGGATCAAATGGACCACGAGCTTTCGAAATTTCTCTCCCATTCAGAAATATCGAAGATTCCGTGTCCACACTACTGTTATGCTCCTCTCCCCCTCCCCTCCCCTCTCTCCTCCCCTCCCCCGCCTCCCTTCTCCTTACCTCCTTCCCCCCTCCCGCCCCCTTTTCACACTCACAGCCACCACTTGCGCACGCTGCACGCCCGCCTCCGCGGCATTTCGTTGTCCATCCATTTGGCTCAGTCTGTTGCTGCACGTGGCGATCAGGGTGGACGGAATTGGCTGAAGCGGAAGTGGGGGATGACGAGCACCAATCGCACTTCAAGTTCGTTTCGCGTGAAGACAGCGACATTGACAGCTGGGGTGCGGAAGGAAACAAACTTCACATGAGTGTGGTACGCACTGTGCGCTGGTCGTCCCGCACAGTATTCAAGATCGCGTCGTTTTTGCAAAGTTGAAACAGAAGCCGCCTCTGCTCCTCCCCGCTGGAAGGGGCTGTTTCTAGCGCAACCAGATGATATGTGTTACGAGTGCAATTGAGTGAACGAACGAGAATTGCACTATCGAAACAAGAGTACAATGAGCGAAGGTATGAGAGAAGAATATATAGCGAAACTAAAGATGTAACGGTAATGGACTATGGTTGTCGCGCGACGGGCCTGGGACTGAGGTTGGGAAAAGTGTCGAAGCGGAGGCCCGGAGCGCGGGTTACCCGCCGAGCCGTGAGGTCGGGGTGCGACGTGCGAAGGTGGCGGGCGGATTGTCGATGCGAGGATTACGAGTGGTAACGGTGCTGACTGTGGCGCTACAGTGATGTACGCGTTGAGCAGGGACGCGAAGTAAGGAAAAAGAGGTTTTCCTTACACTACCCCCCCCCCCCCCCCCCCCCCTTAAGGAGGTCCTCCTTACGAAAGTGCGTGTACATCCCTGAAATTCCGGCTGCGCAGATATTCGGTGAGGACGGGGTGGTTTTCGATTCTGTCCAGCGGAGTACCCAATTGTCTTCGGTGGGTGTACGGTCCTTCCAGCGGAGTAAGAACTCGATCCTTCGGGCTCCTCAAGGGTCGCGAACTCTGTGACTCAGGATTTTCTCGGGGGTGATGATTGGTTCAGTCGGTGGTCTTGTCATGCTGGCTGGGCGATTGCGTGGCAGTTGGCTCGTGGACAGGACGCAAGGGCAAAGCAGGCTGACGTGGAACGAGGGGCTGACGTACCAGTCAGCAGGGAGGAGGAGGTGGGCGGTGACAGGTGTAAGCATGTGGCTTATGCGAAATGGCCCGCAGTATCGGGGGCGGGGTTTCGGGGTGATGAGCAGTCGGAGATTTTGGGTGTCGAGCAAAACTAAGTCGTCGGGCTGGTAAGTGACAGGTCTGCGGTGGCGGTTGGCGTTGCGTTTAGCGATGATGTTAGCTTTTTAATTGCGTCTGCTGCACTAGTCCGTGCTGCTTGCAAAATTTCGGCAAACTGTTGCGCGCGTGGAACCGGGTTGTCAGGATTCGGGGTCATGGGTACTGTTGGGTCTTGTCCGTAATTCAGGTAAAACGGTGACTGTTGGGTCGTGGCGGATGGGGCGTTGTTGTATGCGAATTCGATGAGTGGCAGTTGCTGCTCCCACGTGTTTGGGTCGTCGCACGTGGCCCGGATGAGCTGTTTCTGTCTGTCCGTCTGTTTCGGGGTGGTACGATGAACTAAACTGTAGTCGCGTGCCGAACTGCTGCCAAAGGTTCCGCCAGAAGTTGCTGGTGAATTTCGTGTCTCTGTCGCTAGTCTCGAGCATTTCGTGGTCGTGTATCGGGTAATTTCGCTCAGGCGGATACAGTTTTTTTGACTCGTATGTGATGGGCTGTAGGCCGTTGCCGAAGTTCTGTAGCAGTACAGCTCCAATGGCGATGTCGCTTGCGTCTGTAACAACCTCGAAGGGGCAGTGTGGATCGGCGATGCGCAGGACGGGCGGTGAAAAGAGAACATTTTTCGGGGCAGAGAAGGCAGCATGCTCTTTCTCCCCCCACGTAAAAACGACCCCTTTTCGCATTAAATCCGTCAACGGGGCAGTCAAGTGTGCCATGTCGGGGACGAACCGGCGAACATAATTAACGAACCCTAAAAAACTCTGTAGTTCTGTGATGTTCGTCGGGGGACGCCACGCTTTTACCGTATCCAGCTTCTTTGGGTCGATTTCAACTCCAGCCTCCGAAATAACGTGCCCCAAAAATTCTAGTCTGTCCCAAAAAAACTCGCACTTAGAGCCCTTGGTTAGTAACCGATGTTCCGCTAAAACTTTAAATACTGCTTCGAGATCCGCTAAATGCTGCTGCTTGTCGCGACTGCAGACGAGGATGTCGTCGAGGTAAACTATCACGCCTTTATCTAAGAGTGGCCTAAACGCCTCGTTCATGGTCATCTGGAATGTTGCGGGCGCGTTCGTCAGCCCGAAAGGCATCACCGTGTACTCAAACGACCCGTACCTAGTCCTAAATGCTGTCTTGGCACAGTCCGATGGTTCGACCCGAATCTGAAGGTAACCCCCCCGTAAGTCTATTTTCGAAAACACTCGTGCTGTTCGCAGTTGGTCGATCAGTTCGTCGGCGCGGGGAATGGGGTACCGCGACTTGACTGTTACCCTGTTGAGCGCGTGGTAATCGATGCACATGCGAAACCCTCCGTCTTTTTTCGGTGTGAACGGTATCGGTGCGGCGAACGGTGACGAACTTGGTCGAATAAACTACTTCTCTAACAAATAATCTAACTGCTTCCTCAGTTCGTCGAGCTCGGGCTGTGTCAGTCTGAACTGGCGCTATACAGTTAGCTGTGCCCCCGGTTCTAACTCGATCCTATGATCATGCGCCCGCTGAGGTGGTAGCCTTTCCGGTAAGTTGTCTGGAAAAATCCCCGGGTGCCGTTTCAACACTTCCTGTAGTTCGGGCAGTACTGCTGCCAACAGTTTCTGAAAATCGCTCGGTTGCTCCGCTTCTCCTACTAATGCTATATCTACTGCGTACACGTTAGCTCCAGTGGCGACAACCCGTTTCATCGTGATGGCGTTGACGTGGACCGTTGAAGACTCGGGCGACTGCCAGCGAGGTAGCATGACCCAGTTACCGCTACTTCGCACAGTGCAGCTACCCGTCGTCCAGTCGATTCGTGGGTTGTACCGTCGTAGCCAATCACGTCCCAGTAAAACATCATGCCCATCCACTGTCGTCGCAAGCATTTCCTGTGTAAACCCGAAGTTTCCCCCGCAGCGAACTTTTACTCTCTCCACCTTTTCCCGTATGGCCAGCGACGTGCTGTCAACTAAGCGTGCGTCGATCTCAGGTAAGCAGCGACTAAGTGTCAATTGTAATTTTCGGACAGTTGCGGTATTAACTAAACTGTGGCTTGCTCCTCCGTCAATAAAAGTCTTCACTGCTGCTCCCTGTATTTTCCCGTGGATCAGTACTGGGCAATCCGTCGTTGTACCCTCCTTATTCATCCGAGCCCGATCGATGGCGTGAATCGGTACTGTGACTCGGTGAGGGTCGGTGTGGTTGGGCGAGCAGGCAGTCTCGTCAGTAGTTGGCCCAACTTCTACTGACTATTGGCATTTCCCTGCCTCTGAGACTCCCTCCCCTGCTCTGCTCCGCGGCGCCTTAGCTCCTCTGGGCATTCGCTCTTGCGATGGCCTGGCCTGTTGCAAGCAAAGCAGCGCCCCTTAAACGGTGCGGCAGCTGCATTCGTTGCAACAGCGTTTACAGTGGCGTGCTCGATCGGTCCCCGAGGATGATGTCCGTAGTAGGACCCCGGTCTCGGTCGGCGTAGAATGTCGATTTTCTCGGCGAGCGCGAGAATTGTCAGAATGTTATGTTCTAGCCTGTAGTGGGGTGCTCTATAGCGAGTACAACCCTTCTAGGGTTTGCTATTTGTATCCTCATTCTTGCTAGTGCAGCCCTCTTCTTCCTTCTAAAATTTCACAAGAATCTCGTTGAAGTTCGAGAGCCCGCGTAGCATGATTTCATGCGAGATGTCCGGCTTCAGCCCTCCGACGTAACGGTCCACCCGCTCCGCTTCGTGCATGTAGCCGACCTGCTCGCAAAGTGCGAGAGAGCCGTTCGTGTAATCTTGAACCGACCCGAGCTGCCGCCAAGTGCGCAATCTCTGACGCGCCGGAATAGGAGCCGCGATCGGCTCGAAGCGCACCCGAAGCCCTGCGCACCATGCATCCCACGTGCTGTATTGGGCGGTCTCGCAGAATGAACTCCAGGTGACAGCTAGACCCGTGGGCCCTTCCTCTTGCGACGGTGGCTCGTAGGCGCGTGGCGACGTCACGATGACTCGCCACCAGTCCATGGCGGGACCCCTTAACAGCAAAATGTCATACCGAATCTTCGCTGCGTCCGACTCGACGTAATTCGCGTCGAAGAAGACGTTCATCGTGAAAACCCACGATTGAACCGTCGGACCTCCATGCTGGCTCGGGTCGAAGCAGGGCGGGCGTTGCGGCTTGAGTGGCATTGGTGCCATGATGGCCTGTTCGCCACTTGTCGTCGCGAACTCCACGTGCCGACGGGCTTCGCGAGGCTCCCGCAGGCTTGGTGCGACCCTGTTTCCTCCCATGCCAGGCATCGGCTGGGCGGCGCCATCGCTGGCTGCTCCTGAGTGAGAAGAAGTGAACGAGAATGAATGAACTATGAATGAAGTGAGTACAAATAGGAAACTCTAGTTGTGTTGTACCCCCTATGGGATACCCCACTATAGCCTACACAAATAAGTAAGCTATAATATTCTGACACACCCCCATAGGCAAAGTGGGGGAGAACAAGGGGTCACAAGACCAGTCAAGCAAAGCAGAGCAAAGCTCAGGGTGGATCACAAAGTCACCACACAATCCGAGCACAAGTTCAAAGGCCACAAGGCCAGTTCACATGCAAGATCATATATAGAGATATACAAGAGTCAAGCAAGCAAGAACAAGAGTATATATAGGTGAAGGTACAAGTAAGGTCAAGAAGTGAGCAAGTGAGGCTAGACAGGCACAAGACCCAGCTGCGTGCAGCAACGCTGATGATCACAAGGCGCAAGTGCCTTGGTGAAGACATCAGCAGTGTTGGCCTCAGAGGCCACGTACGCAAGTCGCAACTGTCCACGCTGCTGTAGCTCACGAGCAAGAAAGTAGCGGAGAGCAATGTGCTTTGTCCTGTGCTCCAGTCGCTGCTCTCGACACAAGGCCAGCATGGCCTTGTTGTCTACGTACAGGA